TTTCTCGGACGGGCCGCTGGCGGGAGGAGTCTTCACTGGCACTGTTGCGATTGACGTGAGCATCCTCGACCTTGGCCTTCCGCACTGTTCGAGAGGGGGCTGGGCGGTTGTCTCGGTCGATCAGCACGGCATCTCGCAGGGTGCCTGCTTTGGGCCTCTCCCCACTGCCCTGCAGGAGATTGGCCTCGCTGAGCTGTGGGTTTCCTTTCAGCGCCTGTCTCTCGCGGCTGCGCCTATCACGATCGGGACCGACTGCCATGCGATCGCCCACGGGGCTGCGGCTGGCAAGGCTCGATGCTTGCGCCCGAACCGACCCTATTCTGAAGCCTGGGATCGTACTTGGTTTCCGTTGGAGGACCTGGGGGCCGACGGCGTTTCGGTTCGCTGGGTTCCGTCTCATAAAAGCTGGCCAGATGCCCAGAGACGGGGCGTGACCTGGCCTTTTTTGCCAAGGCAGTGTTCTGGCGGATGAATTCGCTGAGCGAGGGGCCGAAGCGCATCCCAGGGACGAAGACTGGGCCCACAGGCGCGCTTTGGCCTGGTGGGCTAGCCGTCACGTTGCGTACTACACTGGTCGTATCCTCCACCACTTGGCGCTCTCGGATTTTCTGGATGCGGTTCGTCCTAAGGTGGTCAGAGCCCGCTTTGACCCGCTCGACCTGGTTTCGGGCCCTCGGGGCCGCCAAGTCAAAATTGTTCGCGGTCGCTGGGGGTGCGTGTCCTGCGGTTGATCGGCCTTGTATCGTTGCAAGGTTGTTTCTCGGCCTTGCTCAGGGCCCCCAGACATTTTGTCTCGTGCCCACCCCTCCCATCGGTTGTGGTGGGCGGGGGGGCCCACGGAAGGAGTTGCTCGGTGCTCGCGCTGCGGTGCGCATGGAGCCCAGCAGGTGCTCAAGATCGGCAGGCGTTGTGTCCCTCCCACGGACTGGGGCCGCCGATCGTTGAAAGCGTTGCGAAAGGGCACAGATCCTCCCTCGCCCCTTTCCTGTCCCCCCTCCGCGGGAGCCTCGGGAGTTGGGTTGGGTGATGGGCGTCCGCTCGGTCTTTTCTGAGGTCGAGGACCCAGAGGACTTCTATCGTGCCTAGGGGTGGACGCTCTTCTTGCGCCCCCTCGTCCTCTTGGGTCTGCCCCGCCTGAGGCGGGCGGGACTGCCGTGGAGCCCAGCGCGGTGGCGGAAGTGGCAGTAGCGCCACCCGCGGCGGGCTCCCGTCGTGGCTGAACTCGCGGGATTTGCTGGGGCGGTTCCTTCTGGGGCCGCCCCCAAAGGAAGGGAAGGGAAAGGAGGAGGAGGAGGAGGAGGAGGAGGAGGAGGAGGAGGAGGAGGGCTGGAGGCGGAGAAGGGTAAGTAGAAGGAGAAAGAGGAGGAGGAGGAGGAGGAGGAGGAGGAGGAGGCGCGCACGCGCGGGACAGGCCCGCGCTCAGGGCGAGGGAGCGGGGGACCCGCCCGAGGGCAGCACCGCGCGCGGACGCACGTCCGCCCCGCAGGTTCCCTCCGTGGCGCTGCCTATGCAATTTGTGGTCCCGGCCCCCTGCCACGCCCATCGCTGGGCGCCGGGTGCAGTCGCCAGCCCGCCGGCCCTCGTCGAGAGCCCGCGCCCGCAGCGGTGCCGGCCCCCCGTCATGAAGGCTCGACCCACGTGTCACCCGCGAGCAACCAGAGCCGCACCTCTTCCAAATCTGAAGACGTCACCTCGTGGCATGCCGCCCACTCGCCGGGCGGGGTCAGCTCATATTGGCTTCACCCATACGCCCCTGTGCGGCCAACGGAGGCTTCGTCTCGGGTAGCTATTGCCCCCGCCCTTGATCCGCCCCCGGCGCCGCCGGCACAGGGTAGCCATCTCTTGGGCGCCGCGCCCAAAGTTGCTGGGCAAATTACCCCTGCACAGTCCCGGCAGCTAATCCTGCGCTTCTCTCAGTTCGGACATTGAACAAAAGGCCGCCTTTAGGCGGTGCATCTGGTCATCCACGCATGCTCCAGCATGGGCCGTCGCGCGATGGACACGCCGCTGGCGGACTTCCCCCAGGGCTGATCAATGGCTGGGGTGCAGAAAAGATGGCGCGGCTTCTACGGGGGAGCGGGCCCCGCGCCCAAGAAGGCGCGGGGCGACCCTGCCTCGCTATCCATGCGTCCGTCGTCCCCCACGCGGCAGCCGGCCAGGGCCCCTCTGAGATTGTGGTGGGCTGCGCCCTCCCCCTGGAGAGAGCTGCAGCCTCCCCTGACGTACTCCGCCCCCCTGATTATTTAAAGCAGCTGTCGCGGGTTCGACCCGCCCCCCTTCCCCCGCCCCCCCCCTCTTCCCGCTTCTGCGGGCCTGACGGTTCCGTCCTCAGGCCCGCCGAGGAGGGCCTTCCATGTCTTCCCCAGGCGCACACGACGACCATCGACTGCGACCTGAGCACGAGTCTGGCCTTAGGGGGAGCGATCGGATAAGGCCCCGGCCCCTCCCCCACCAGGATCCTGTCAGACGCCAGGCCGCTGAGCGACGCCATGCAGCGCCCGCGATGCCAGAGCAGCAGCTGCGCTGCTCCTCCAGGAGTTGCACGAGCCGCCAGTCATGCCGGGGGCGGCTCTGCGCCCGGCGCGGCGCCGCCCCCGCATTTCTTGACGACGGCGTCCGCCCCTCCGGCATGCAGAGCCCGACAAGTCCCACGCTCTCGGACCCCCAGGCGCGCTGTAAAGATTTATTGGGGGTTGGCACCCTGGGCGCGGAGGAACTCGGGGGGCGCCCCGCCCCGGAAGGGGGGAGGCACCCTCACAGGGAGGGCGGGGCGCGGGGCGACCCCCGACGTTCGGCCGCCCCCAGCTCGTCCATCCTGCACCTCTGCCGAACCGGGTGTAAGGGGGGCTGGAGGGGGCGAACCTTGGTGGTTTCCTCCAGCTCGCTTGCCCGCTGCCCTCGTTGGGTCGTCGCGTTTGTGCCGTTTCGGCCGTCTTGCCGCTGGCTGTCGTCGTCCGTTTTCTCGCTTACCGTTTCGCCGCGTCGTCCTTTGTCGTCACTGTGTCGTCTGCGGCCCGTGCGGGCCGCCTTCGGGCCGCCGCGCCCGTCCGCGTCGTTCTCGTCTTTGCGTCTTGTCGCGTCGCTGCCGTCGCACGTCGTCGCCGTCGCCCATGTCGCGTCGAGTCGTTTTGCGCTGTCGCTCTTGCCCCCAGACGGGCGTTGCGTTCGCGCCCGTTCGGGTCCTGCTGCTCCTTGGTTCGCGTTATGAGAGGCCTCCTAGATGGGATCGGAGTAGATGGGGTCGGAGGATCGAGCCGCATCGCCGATACGTCGACGATGCATCGGCGATGCACTGGCGATACATCGTCGACGTGGGCAATGCATCGGTGACGTCGACGCGAAGCAAATCGGGCTCCACATCGAGCCGCATCGGCGATGCATCGGCGATGCGGCACGATCCTCCGACCCCATCTATTCGGACCCAATTTGGGAGGCCTAGAGTTATGCTTCTTTCTCTGGCCCTCCTCCCTCTTGCACCCCCTCCCCCCCGCCATTCCTTCCCCTTTTTCTGCCCTCTAAAGCTAACTCTCCCTCCCTGCCCCTGCTCCGCTCGGTTTCCTCCGCCACCGGCTCCTCTCCTGCCCCTCCCTCCTCTGGTTCGCCCCCTCCCGTCAGCCCAAGGCCACCAGGGTCGGCCGCGACTTGTCGCTTGTCCCACGCGCACCGTCTCACCCGATGCGGAATCGCACCCTCTGGCGCGCTGCCTCGTCGCCGTTCGCCCTCTCCCGACCCAGACCAGGATTCGTCTGCTTCGAGGCCCGCGGAAGCAAAAAGAGGAGGAGGAGGAGGAGGAGGAGGAGGAGGACGAGGAGGACGAGGAGGAGGAGGAGGAGGAGCAGGAGGAGGAGGAGGAGGAAGGGGAGGTGAAGGGGAGGGGGAGGCGAAGCCAGTCCCCCCTGATCAGAGGCGGGAGGGCGCGCTGCAGAGCCGCCCGCTGCGGCCCGGTCCTTGTCGCTCGCGCCCCGCTGGTCCTCGTCGTCTTCTGCCTGTCCTCGTCGCCATCGGTTGCTGGCTCCTCTCCGCCGCGGGGGCCGGGCACCGCCAGCGAGAAGAGGGGCGGGGTGCAGCATCGTTGGCACACTCTGGGCTTGCTTTAGGCCTCATCACCCTCCTGCCCCTCCTCTGGGCCTTCCTGGTGATTCGGAGACGATAAGGATCGACTACACGTACGAGTGACCCTTCGCCGGAGTGACCTTTGGCGCGGGTCCACTGGGGTCCCCCGGCCGGTCGCGGGACGCGACGCGATAGCAGCGTCTTGCGCGATTGAGTTTGGACGTCCCACGGCCCCCAAAAAACCGCACACCATCCGTAATTTTCACCCACGGTCACTCCTGCGTGTAGCCGAAAAGAGAAGTCGTTTGACCTGTGCCGCCAGTGGGCTACCGAGCAGCCCACTTCTCTGGGCTGTCGAGCAGCACCGGGCTGCCATTGCTACCCTGACGCCCCCTGGCAGAGCTCAACGAGCTGAGTCAACCGAGGTCCCCAGACACCCACCGTCATGATTGTTTCACAACGTGGGATACCAGAGGTCCCGACTCACTCCCAGGGACGAAGTTTTCATCCCGAGTCGTTCTTTGAAAGTCCTTAGGCCCTGTGAAGGCCTCGTGGTTTTGTCATGGTTCGAGGTGGTCTGGGGTCACCCGGTCCTTGCCAGACCGACCAACCCCTGCCCAGGGCGGCAGCAGCGGGAAGGCACACGAAGGTTGACGCATCCCCACATCTCCACATGGGAAGGATTCGGCTTGTGAGAGTCTTCTTCCCCAGACCGAACGGTCAGGGATGGTGAAATTCTTGCTTGGCCCCTCCCTTCTCCTCCGCCCTTTTCCTCCACCCCCCTCTTCCTCACGCCATCCTCCTCCCTCCTCCTCCTCCTCCTCCGCCTCCGCCTCCTCCTCCTCCGCCTCCTCCTCCTCCTCCTCCTCCTCCTCCTCCTCCTCCTCCTCCTCCTCCTCCTCCTCCTCCTCCTGCCTGGCCCCTGGCCCCCTGCCCCACCCCGCGAGGACAGCGAGGGCCTGAGCCTGCAACTGCTGGACTTCGGGGCCGCGAAGCCCGACGCCACGGAGCGTCGGCGCCCGCACGGGGGTGGGAGGGGGGCAGGGCGCGGCTCGGGCGACGTCGGGGGCACCCTTCATCGGCGACTACGGTAGGTTTGCGTCGTGTCGACCAGCGGCGACCCCAGCGCGGGCGTTCAAGGTTGAACGCCGCCGGCGACCCAGAATCGATCGATGTTGAACGATCGGACGTTGCGGCAGCGGCCGATCGTTCAAGGTTGAACGATCCCTGCGGTGTCAAAAACCAACGCTGGGGTCGGCACTACACGAACCTGCCGTACAGAGGGCATGGTTACGGTCGGACCGAAGTAGAAGATCAAGGTCGGTTCGCGGAGGGTACCCAGGTGTTCTTCGTGTTTGCTGGGTGTTATTGTGCATCATGGGGTACCCTCGAGTGATCTTCTGGCTCAGGGTGTTTGGGCCAGCGGAGGGTCACATGTTCTTGAAGGATGTTTGTTTTGTCCTGGGTCCGACCGTGCATCGGCTTGTGGTTTGCCATCTGCGTCTTTGGGGCTTGGTAGGCACCGCGTTGCCCTCTACGGGCCTCCTCGGGGCGCGGCGGAGACCTCTGTCGATGTCCTCGCCCGCCCCCGAGGTGCTGGTTACGAGCCACATCATTTGCGAACCACACCTTTCGAAGTCGCCGACCTGAAGGGGGGAGGGGGATCGGCTCAGGGGGGACTGGCCCAGGTGGGAGGGAGAGCCTCGACCCCCGATTGGAGGGCATCGACCCCCGAGGGAGGGCATCCACCCGCATGAAGCAGCCGCCTTCGTGCAGGCGGTGTGCGCCCAGGTGCGACGCCAGGCCGGGCGCGGGCGGAGGACTCGTGCGCGCGGCCACGCGCGAGGGCATCGACCCCCGATCGTCGGAGGGGCCCGACGCTCAGGGGCTGAGTTTTCGGACGGCGTCGTCGGCTCCGGAAGGTGTCCTCGCCTCGGGATGCTCTCCAGCAGCTGCGCCTCGCCAGGAGCAGTTTGTGCGTGCCCAGATCGTCCCGAGCGGCCACCGGAGAGACCCGAGCTATGACCCACATACCAGACGGCGAGGATCATTGGGGGGATGATGCAGGGGGGGACGCATTGACCCCTAATCGCCCACTGATCGCCGAGAGGGGCCCGATAGCTCACACCCCGCCCAGGGCCGCGCGGTGTCGGTGTCGGGGTATGTCGCCAGTCCATCGGCGATGTATCGCCGATTCCAGGTCAATCATTTTTCCTTTGAGCTGGTTCGCGCCCTCCCTCTCCTTCGCCACCTTTTCCACCCCTTGATCCACCATCGTCGTCGGTTCCAGCGCCATCGCCATCACCATACCGCCACCGCGCTATGATCATCGGCGTAGGACCATCGTCGCCATCATCACAATCATCGTGGTTATCATCGACATCGGATCATTTGTCGTCATCATCAGCATTATCACCATCACCATCATCACCATCCCGTCCAACAGCTGCGACGCATCCGCGAAATACTGTCAAACCACAGGGGTGTGTGTGTGTGTGTGTCGATTCGGGTGCGAAGGCCCTTGTTGCGACACGATGGGGCGTTGTTTTCGATGCCCCATGGCCATCAGTGAACCGAAAGAACTGCTGCCCGAGCTCCCGCGTTGGTGGGACAGTGCCCGATGTCGCCAATGCGTTTGTCATCTCCCCTCCGTGCACTTCCAATTATGATGCGTTATTTTGTTTAAGTGATACTGATGGGCATTCGCCGTATCCCTGTCAACGGAACTCGCGCGAGGGAGGTGGAAGCAACCCACCGCGCTTCCGAGTTATTCGATGCCCCCTTCTCGTGCACCCTGCCGCAAGAGTGGCCGTGCGCAGCTGTTGTCTGTAAGCCAGCCACGACGCCCGCGGGGGGGGGGCCATCATCACCATCATCAGCATCATCATCACCACCACCATCACCATCATCAGCATCATCAGCATCGTCATCATCATCAGCAGCAGCATCATCATCATCACCGCCATCCGCTGCAGTGGTAGTCCTCCTGCTCGCCCCACCCCAGCCCTGCCCTCTTCGCTCCCCCCCATTCCCCGTCGCTCTCCCACTCTGCCGCCCCAAGCCCTTCCTTCCTCGCTCTCCCCCTCATTTTCTCCGGCTCCGCAGCCCCCCTTCTTCCCTCCCCCCCTCGCCCCCCGATTCCGTTGCCCCCGTTCTCTTCCCAACCCCGCCCCCCGACTCCGCCGCCCGCCGCCCTCCCCTCCTCGCCCCCCGACTCCGCCGCCACCCCGCCCCTCGTCGCCCCGCCCCCTCCCTCTCTCCCTCCGAGCCCTTGTCCCCCTCCCCCCCTTCCTCGTAGGGGCCTCCTGCATTTTCTCCCTCCCCCTCTCCCATGCGTCGTTGAATGAAGTCGCGTCGTCTTCCTCCCCCTGATTGGAAGCCCTGCTCGCCCAGCACGTTCCCCATGGAATGGGCACGCGAGAGGGCCAACAGCCGCTCCCCCCGCAGTGACCCGCAGGGACTCGTACTCACAAGGTAGCGAGCCTCTCTTACACGGGGCCACCTCGGAGCTCGCTCCTTCGAGCGCCCCCTGTAGGCCCCATGAGAAATCTGGGTCCGCGGCATACTACACTCGCGATGCATTTTGCACGTCGTACCACACAGTTCCTTTGCGGGCGTGTCGACGTTGACCACCTCGTGCGGATGTCCTGTCCTGTCCTGTCCTCGTGCCCCTCCGTTCTTCGCCTCCCTTTTCGCCCCCCGCCCAGCGAGCGCGCGCAGAGACGCCCCGCTGCGGAGGATTCCCCCGCCGCGCACTCCGTGACGGGCACGCTGCTCTTCGCCGCGCCCGAGGCACCCAGGGCGGGCCGCCTCGGCCATTCCCGCGGCAGCGGCATGCCTGGGATCCCAGACATGCGCGCGATTTCGCCCTGGTTGCCCTGGGTGTCACCTCCTCCCCCTCCTCGTCGTCCTCCTCCTTTTCCTCCTTCCCCTCCTCCTCCTCCTCCTCCTTTTCCCCCTCTTCCTCCTCCTCTCCCTCCTCATCATCATCCTCCTCCGCATCCTCTTCCTACTCCTCCTCCTCCTCCTCCTCTTCCTCCTCCTCCCCCTCTTCCTCTTCCTCCTCCCCCTCCTCCTCCTCCTCCTCCTCTTCCTCCTCCTCCCCCTCTTCCTCTTCCTCCTCTTCCTCCTCCTCCTCTTCTTTCTGATTCCCTACCTAGGCTATGCCTAGAAGTGTTCTTACTTTATAAGCTTAAAGGGCCGGGCAGTGTTCCTCGCCCCGGGCAGTTCCCCCGGCATCCGCCCCGCGGTTCCCCCAGTTGCGCCCCCTGGGTTCACCCAGCTTATTAGCTTAGCTAAGCCTAGCTTAGCTTAGCTGAGCTTATAGCTTAGCTTCGCCTAGCCTAGCCTAGCTTAGCTTAGCTTAGCGCATCTCATCTTAACTCAGCTTAGCTTAGCTTAGCCTAGCCTAGCCTAGCTTAGCTTGGCGTACCTTAGCTTAGCATAGTTTAGCTCACCTTAGCTTAGCCTAGCGCAGCGAAGCACCGCGCAGCGCAGCATTCGTACAGCATAGCATAGCATAGTATAGCCAAGCATAGCATAGCATAGCACAGTATCGCATAGCACAGCTCAGCATAGCATAGCATATCATGCATAGCGCAGCATAGCATCCCATAGCAAATCATAGCATAGCAGTGCTTAGCATAGCACAACATAGCATCGCATAGCAAAGCATAACACAACATTGCTTAGCATAGCACAGATCAGCATAGCATAGCACATCATAGCATAACATAGCATAGCGCAGCATAGCATAGCATAGCGCAGCATAACATAGCATAGCATAGCATAGCATAGCATAGCGCAGCATAGCATATCATAGCATAGCATAGCATAGCGCAGCATAGCATAGCATAGCATGGCCTAGCATAACACAGCGCAGCCGAGCGTACCCTAGCATAGCATAGCATAGCGCTGCATCGCAAAGCATAGCTTTCCTAAATGCTCCAACTCCTAGGTAGGGTCGCACTGTGATAATTATCCTCATCCTCCTTTCCTCATCCTCCTCATCATCATCCTTTCTTCCTCCTCCTCCTCCTTTCCACTGTCGCCTCGTCGTTCGTTCCCCCTTTGTGCTCGTGTTCTCGTCGTCGTCCTCTTCGGAAGTTGCGGTTGCGGCGCTGCCAGACGGTGCTGTCGCAGGGACCGGGTGCAATCCTTCTGTTGGACGCCATTGGGACCCCCAGCTCCGAACGGTGGATCGGCAGCACTCATAGATCACGACGGGCACTTGTGTAGTCCAAAACCCAGATAGCGGAGCACCAGAAGGCTGTCAAAAGGATTGTCGAGGGAACTCTGGAAGATCTTGGAAGGAGCTTCCGAAGGAGTTTCCGAAGGAGCTTCCGAGCAGTATTGGGAAACGCTTAGAAAAGGCCAGCCGGGACACCGCAGCTTCAGGCAGGGCGCGCCGAGGTGTTTGCGCAGAAGCCGCAGTGAGCTCCAGGGCTACCCTGCGATGCCGGCTTCTAACTCTACGACCCTACACAGGTCTCCAAGTAGCTATCCGGAAATGTCTGTCTCAGAGTTCGGCTTCCGTGGGCCTTCGCCCCGACCCCAGGGCCGCAAAAGAACGGCCCGGGATGAGAAATTGGCCCCGGGGAGAGGGTCGGCCCTTCGCCTGCTGAAAATCGGAGGTTGCCAGAAGGGTTTGCTGGACAAGGTTGGTTTCGCTGGAATCGACGTCCCCCCCCGCCCGGCCTTAGGCACTCCAGCACGGCCCGAGGCGCCCCAGCCACCGTCCGAATCACCCTTCCTGAACCAGACCCTCTCGCCGCCCTCTGGGAAAAGTCGAGGCATCGGACGTCTGTGTTCCCGCGGCGTGCTCGGCAGGAGGACGAATCGATCCCAGGGCGGCCCGTTCTGGTCGGCCCGCACGCACCGCGGCATGCTGCCGTGCTTACTCGCCTGAGGGGCGCCTCAGAGCGCTCTCGGAGCGTTCCTCTGCCTTCTCCTCCGCCTTTTTCTTCTTCTTCCTATTATTATGTTTTGTATTATTCTTCTGCTTCTTATTATAACTATTCTTACTGTTTATTAGTCTTCTTCTTTTTATTATTATTACCATTAGTCTTATTATTAACATTATTGTTATTATTAGTAGTAATAGTATTAGTATTCGTATTATTAGTATTATTACTATTATTATTACGATTACGATTACTATTATTATTACTATTATTATTTCTATTATTACTATTATTACGAGTACTGGCATTAGTAGTATTAATAGTCGTATTATTATTAGTAGTAGTAGCATTCGTATTATTATCATTAGTATTATTATTCTTAGTAGTAGTATTAGTATTGTTCTTCTTCTTATTATTAATGATATCCGTAAGGGCTTCGCCCCCTGCCGCCGGCCCCCTCTCTCGGAGAATGGGCCAGAGAAGAGCTAAGTCATGAGGCCTTGGCGCTGTCGTGAAGCAGTATCGAAACTTCATGCGAAGCCGATTCGCAATCAGCAGAACCAACTGATCACAAGAGGGGTTACCACACCTGGCGATTGGTAAGACGTGTATGGTTTACGGGCTTGGTTACCACACCTTGCGATTAAAGGGCCGAGGGAGTTCTCGCAGTTTGGGTTACCACGCCTTGCGATGGATGTGCGTGAAGGGTGGCACCGAATTTCAGAAATGTGGCAAATCCCCTGTGTTTTTGGACCCTGACCCCGCGGATCTGCGTGAGGGGTGGCACCGAATTTCAGAAATGTGGCAAATCCCTGTGTTTTGGACCCTGACCCCGCGGATGCTGCGTGAGGGGACCCTGGCACCGAATTTCAGAAATGTGGCAAATCCCTTGTGTTTTTGGACCCTGACCCCGCGGATCTGCGTGAGGGGTGGCACCGAATTTCAGAAATGTGGCAAATCCCCTGTGTTTTTGGACCCTGACCCCGCGGATCTGCGTGAGGGGTGGCACCGAATTTCAGAAATGTGGCAAATCCCTGTGTTTTTGGACCCTGACCCCGCGGATCTGCGTGAGGGGTGGCACCGAATTTCAGAAATGTGGCAAATCCCTGTGTTTTTGGACCCTGACCCCGCGGATCTGCGTGAGGGGTGGCACCGAATTTCAGAAATGTAGCAAATCCCATGTGTTTTGGGACCCTGACCCCGCGGATCTGCGTGAGGGGTGGCACCGAATTTCAGAAATGTGGCAAATCCCATGTGTTTTTGGACCCTGACCCCGCGGATCTGCGTGATGTGATATGGATGGCGCGCGCGGCGCGACGATCTTTAGTCGAAAGAGAGCGCTGCTCAATCTATCTGCGTAGCTCTAAGGCCAAGGGCCCTAGTTCGAAACAAAACGGCAGCGGCATGAGCGGGGGTGAGGGATAGAGCGGGGATGCAGGAAAGGCACAGGGAGTGAGCGGGAATCACACTCCTCCTGATTGACGCTCGCGGCGCCGTCGAGCGACGATCATTGATCGCAGCTCACTTCATTAATCAGAGCGCTCTCAAAACAAACACAGGCAAACGGCCCTGTCGGCATGCTATCCGGCTGCCCCGGGGCATTTAACGGGTGCTGCTACACGCACCGGCAAGAAAGACATAAATTCTCAAAACGAACAGCGGCGCGAGTCCGATCGCTATGCGACAAAACTCAAATAGCGCTGTCTTATCGAGATAACATCTCAATAGTGTGGTCGTCACCACATAAAAGGAAATCTGTGCACACTGAATGAAGCTTCGAACAATGCGGACTAGCGTAGTATGCCACAGGGTGTGGCGCCAAATGTAAAAAAAAACAAGCTGGTAAGACAATTCGGATTTACGCAATCTGCCACACGATGTGGCTCCAGGTGTAAAGGAAACGAACTGACAAAGCGGTGCGGGTTGACGTAATCTGCCACAGGATGTGGCGCCAAATATAAAACGAGCTAACAGAGCAATGCGGACTTACATAATCCGCCACAGGATGTGGCGCCAAATATAAAACGATGGCGTGCTCACGAAATCTTCTTTTGAGCTTTCGCCTTGCCGGGCAGTCCTTGTAGCTGCCTCCATCTGTTCTGTAAATCCCAGCGCAGACTATTGTGCATCCTCGAGAAATCTGGCTCATGGGTCACATAATTCCTGCGTAGCCATGTAGCGTGCTTCCTGCACGTCCTGCAGGTGATGTAGACACTGTGTGCGTTGTGTCCCACGCGTATGTTGTGCTCGGCGGCCACACATGCGTTCATTTCTACTGGCGGAACCGTTGGCGTCGCTCCGTTCCAAGAAACCACGCTGGCTGACGAGGAACTGGTAACCGTCATCGGGGATGATGGCGATGAGCTGGCTCCCTGCGCGAAGCTGTCCGGTGATGGGGGCGGTGCGGCTGGCGCTGCCGATCCGCTTGCTGATGATGAACTCTGGGCTGCGACGGCAATCATCGGCGGCTCCATGTAGACATCTCCGTCGACGTCTTCGGGAATGGTAGTCGGTACATTGTTACGACGTCCGAGGTATCGTCCATCCCATCCTGGATATATTCCGGGCAAGGGAGTGTCCGCGTGCCCGGCGTGATCAGCCTTGGACCCATTGCTGGTGTTGTTGATGGTCCCGATATGGATGGGATTGGGGTCGCCTGGCCCAAATATCTCCCTTCGCACCACAAACCACAGAGCTGCGAATAATGTAAATCCAATCATGATCCCACTGAGCATCGCAATTAATGTCATGTAGTAGATCCAATGCGACATTGGCACCTGCCATTCCTGTGGGGGATGCTGTGCCTTCACGCGTCCGAGACATGTCATCAATACTGAGGCAAGCATGGCGGCGTGCGGTTGCCTAGTGCCAAAGTTGTACTTCTTGGCC